AGATTTAAAAAAATTTTACCAACCATTTTAGTAAAATTTAATTATCCAATAAAATATAAGATACAATATATGATTAAATTTTATTAAAGTGCATAGTAAAATTTTTTGAAATACCATGTTATCCCACAATTACTTAATTTATAGTAAATTTTAAAAGAAAATTCTTTCTGTGTAGGAATAAAATAATGCTCGCTTTTATTTTTTGATGTGTTATATGTCACAAATGCAGGAAATAGAAAGTTACCTTTTAAAAGTAATAAGTTATAGTTACTTGTTGCCGAAATAGAAAAAAATAACAAGTTATTGTTATTAGTTACCGATTTTTAAAAGTAACTTTTAAAAGAGTTACAGTTACCGTTACTCGGAAAATAACTTTTCGTTATCTTTCTGTTTACTTTTTTAAAATTGATCACTAATCACAGCGGACGAGTAAGAATTACCTAAGAACTTTTTAGTTTCAAGTATATAAGTCGCTATGAGTAGCAAGTGTCCAATAGAATCGTATCCAATCATGTGCAAAGTAACGATAAAAGTAATTATAAAATTCATTACCATTATAATTACCAAAAAGAAGTAATACAATTACCAGTAAAGTTAGCAAAAAATAACTTGTAATTCGTTACAAATAACGAGTTACTTTTATTCTCTGCAACAAATGTTTGTAAATAAACAAACATTGCCTACTCATAAATAATATACCTAACTTCTTAATTTATCGGAAATATTGTGCATGTGAAGGTAATATTATTTCATAACGGTCTGTAAATACAATTCAGAAGAAACAGAGTATTAATAATAGTAACGTACACACAGACTTAGGTTCTGAAGCGAATACTGCAACAGAAAACAATTAAATATTATGCTATGGCATAATAAAAATATTATGCTATGGCATAATAAAAATAGCTATCATATTTCTACAAGCAGGTTATATAAATTATGCTTTAGATTATGTTTAAAAATAATATTGTAAGATAATTCATGAAACGTTTTCTTTTTTCCATTACTTTCTCTGAACATTTAAACGTTTTTACAACGTTATAGAAATTTTATGTTCTGTACTGATTACGTTTAAGCTTATTCTACAATATGCTTTTTGTTTCTTGTTTTTTACTTTTTGTTATGTTTTACATCTTGTCTTTTCTTATCCGATTTTTTGTTTTATCGCTCCAAATAAAAGTTAATGAATTTCGAAAGAAATAAGAAATACGTAGCAAAAAATACAATTGTCGAAACGGTTACAAAGAAGAAAAAAGCAAAAGGTAAAATACAAGAAACAGGTTTTAAATACATCTATTATATTTCGGGACTAAGAAATTGTTCAGTCACACAATCGAATGCGAGAAAAATAATCGACAATTTCGCTTAACTGGACAATTTCTTATGATTTAAGATTTAAAAGTTAGGTTTAACGGCTTATTATAGAAAACGCATTAAGACTATCCACGACCAAACATAAGATGATATAATGCGTCATCTACACAATACAAAGAATAAGAAGTAAGAGTAAGAAATTAATCAATCACAGTTGATTATTTTTCTCACATTTGAATCTGATGATGGTTGGTCAATTTCTTACTCTAACTTCTTACTCCGCGTATTATAGACGATGTATAAGAACTCCGCGTATTATAGGCGGCGATATAAGAATATCACCCTTACTTTTTTGAAGGACCAAAAAATCTTAGATCGAACGATCATATCTTTTAAATTTTCTTAAAATAATAGTCTCCACTATTGCGAAGTCGCATATATATTGTATAAACTTCCAAGCAGAACAACAAGTTATTATGATATCAAAATAATGTCAAAATGATCACTAAAAATCATTTTTTAATCATTTCCGATTCATTTTGATGTCATTTTGACGTTATCGTGATTTATTGTTTTGCTTGGACTTATTTAGAAATTTTTAAAGAATTCTTAAAACATCTTTGTGCTTGGAATTTAAAAATTTATATCGCGGAATGAAAGTACAAACTTTTTATATATTTTATTAATTTCTTACCTGCATTATTATTATCAGTTGAAGACCGAAAGGGAATAGGCGGAACCGTCGGCAAGGATTGGCCCGGTTCGCTTTGACGATTGAAAGAACCAGGTGCTGGAGGATAAAATTCCAACATGGTGTCTTCTCACTGGAACCTTGAAGATAGAAAGTTTTTGAGCTGTAAGGAATCTTAAAGTTTTTGCAGCAAGCTTCCGCTGGAATTCTAAACACTTGAAGGCCACACAATGTCCGAATAAAAAATCTTTAGACCAAATAGAGAGATGGGTTAGATCCCAGAAAGAAAAGTTTATTTTTTTAAGAAAACTCTTCCTCTCCTTTTTCTCTTGCCTGTTTTTATTCTTGACTTCTGATTATTTCGAAAATCTTCAGTTGTCTCTTAAGTCCTGATAAAACTTTTGATTCAAGTTTTTCGACGATAGATCACACTTCATTTGTTTCTCGTTTTGGCGACTAATTGATCCTTCAAACTGTTCAGCTTCAAACTGTTCAGCTTCTTCCACTTTATCATTAAAAATCAGAATATCGCGTCGTTTTACGAACTACTAAATATATATAGAAATACAACAAACTCTCTATTCAACACTTCAGTAAATCAGTTCAGGCCTAGTCTAAATTAGCCCTTTATATCGATCTTGATTCGATTAGAATACTTGTTCCTCCGATCACACAGCGGCAGAAAGCGACGGCAGGAGAATCGTCGCGTTTAGCCCTCACCAGTTTTTCGATACGGGCAATGCCGTACGTCATCCAAGTCTCATGACGAACTGCTAGGGCTACGATGTGCGAGTTTAACGCGACGATCTTCTCGGACGACCTCGAGGCGCGAGATACCACGACCGCATTGCATTCTGTACACGAAGATGATAACCGTTCTCGATGTTTCCGCACTTGTACTCCGTCCACATCCACTCGTCCACTATCAGCACCGAACGCACTCTGACGGTTTCGTACGTGTCATCAGTGCGAGTTCCGTCGCTTTTTTGACGAAACTCACTGACTTTGCCGACAGCGAAAATCATCCCCCTCTCCATCCTTTCTTCCCATCCCCCAAATCCCATCCCCCCACACTGCTTTCTCTACCGTCCTGTTTGTGTGAGTGTGCAGGTGTGCGTCTCGTCTTCGTCATTGGAGATAGACGAGGCATCGACGCGAAAGTGAAGAGGGCGGGTTCAACCCCCGTGGAAGCCAACGGTGGAAGCGCGATTGGCGTTGCTCGGAACCGCCCTTGCTAGAGCGAACTGGTGCAGCAGTGGGGTGAAATGACACCAGTGGTCCTCAACCGATGGCGACGTACGAGCGAAGATCAATATCCGGCCGACCATTGCCGGATTCAGAGACGTATCTCGACGAACTCGCCAGACATCAATTTTGGGCGTCGCATCTCTGTTTTTTATAATCATCAAAACAATCAGCAAAAGAAAAATTTAGATCAATTTAAGAAATTTATAGAATGTAATAGCTTCCTCTACCCTCCTATATATGTATCTCGTCTTTGTCATTGTAAGTGTCGATTAAGAGCAAGTAGCAGATTTATCTCTCACAATAAAAAATATATGTCAAAAATAAAAAATCAAACTGATGTATGTACTATTGAAAATGTATTACTGACTTTTAATATTATAGAAATAATATTATATTACTGCAGAAGATTAACAATACGGTATATAATTTTCTATGCAAAAAAGGTGTACGGAATGAGAGTTTTACATGATCAAGCTGGATTTTTTAGTACTTAAATAATTTAAGAATTTATATACATAATCTTATAAACTGCGTGTTGAATATAATTTTCAGTCTTGAAATCCGATCCTATAAAATTAGAGTAATAATATTACAAACTAAATTGACAAGTAGTAATATTAATGCTCATAGGCATTTTATAAAAATATTCATAATCTGATATCTACTAATAAACATGGCATTTTAAAATCTGTAAATAATTTTATTGCGAAAAATATAATAGTTCTGTTAGAATTGCGTTTCAAAATTAAACTTGGCGCGCAATTTGCAGGATTGGACATAATTCATATCAAATTATTTAACAATAAGCTCTAAAGATCCAACTTGACTATAAAGCTCTCATTTCTTATGTATTCATATTAGTTTTGAAAGACACTTTATTTAATATAAAAAAAAGATGTGTGTACTTAACTAATTTATTTTATTTAAAAACAAGCCACACTTGATTCCAAAAAATTAATAAAGAAGAATAAAGGTTATCTTATATAATTGTTTACTTAGTCTAATAGCGAATTTGATTGGACGCACTCAGTGCGCACTGGTGCACATTAAAGTCGTCGTAACAAAATAATATAAAGATATGTTTATAAACATAGAAATCGATTAAATCTTGAAATATTCAATACACTTTATTGTACTATTAGGTAAAATATGTATTTCATAATTCGAAATATTTGCATTTCATTTTTATAATCAAATTAAATCAGTGTACAACGGCTTTAATATGCACTAGTACTCATTAGTGCTTCCAATCGAATTTGTCATAAGAAAAATATCAAAAAAGTGAAAAATAATTACAAAATTAATAATCTTAGCTAACTCAACTACTAGATAATTTGAGCAATACAAAGTTTCCATTAGTGAACATCGATAGTAATATAATTTTATATAATATAATTTTATATAATATTTATTTTAGATAAATATAGATGTCTGTTTAAACTATTTCATTAATGACTGTTCAATTTAATATGAAAAATCTATCGAAAAATATGATACAGACAAAACGTTGTAAAATCAAAAAGAAGATATCAAATCGCTATATTGACATAAATCTATTTGTGTAAGCTTGAGTAGCGCTCGTCGTGGATCAGCCTCTACTCTTTTTTCGACGCATATAGCTTTTACCCCCGCAGATTCAGCTAATAACCGATGCCATTTTCGAGCAAGACTGCCTGGGGACATATTTTTTCGCTGAAAGTCGATGCGCACTGAGTATTTGGCCGTTTGTCAGTTCGCGTAAATATGCGACAATGCCGTCCTTTGTACGGGCCGTCTATCGGCGATGTTTGCCAAATAAAAGCCTATATAGATCTCTTTGTCTCTGTTCCTGTGCTGCGCGCGGTACGAATCCCCCAATGATACGCCTAGTTGGGAACGAAACTACGGCATTGCCCCTCCGGTGCACGATACAAAGGGGCATCAAGTTGGCGGTAATGGTGATGCAAAATATTCGAGGGAAACACGTGCAGGTCGAGGGAACCCCCGTCCCTTTCTGTCCGAGAGATGCCCAGTTAGTATTCAGACTCGCTTAATCGTACGCGACAGTCACCATACGTCGCGTAGGATCGATGGATCCTTTACTTAGATCCCTTAAACTTGATAGATGAAAAAAATCGTAAAGTAGTAAATTAAATCAAATTTAAAAAACTTGAATTTTTATTAAAGGAAATTCAAATTCTTTATTTACTCATATTTTATTTTCCTATATTTTATATTTTATTTTATTTATATTTTATTTATATTTTATTTTATTTATTTACCTATATTCTATTATATACTTTATTTACGTATATTATCTATATACTTTATTTACCTTTATTCTATTATCTATATTATGATAAATAATTGAAGTTTTTTAGTGTTTTAGAATGATTCAGTTTGAAGATCTCGACTTTTATATAAATATATTAAAAGAAATAATTTTTTTTTCTTTATTATATACAAGCTTTTCTATATATTTTATTTTATTCTTGATAGTTTCTTCGTTTCTATTTTCAATAATTTATTTAATTTTCAGTAACTTTCTTTTAGTTTATTTAGACAATACGCATAAAATTAAAGTTACAAAATTATATTAAAATAATTTAATAGGGTGAGGTTTTGTATCATTTATATAGTTAAGAAACAACGCGGCAGTGCCATTTCAATAATCTTCTTGATTTAATTTGCGGTTCTCTATTTTAGTGAAAAAAAAAAACGAGTGATTTACAAAGTTCGACTCTCGAAAAATCTGTGTAATTTAATCTGTGAACAATAGCTTTTATCACACTTCGGGCGTTAAGAGTTAAAGCCGCGCGATTCCAGATGTAATCCGAATCTCGATCTAGGATCCAGTTATCGATTCCGGTCTTATTTCTCGGGACAATGAAAAATTAGGGATGCTCAATGACCCTTACCATTTCACGGCACGTGAAAGCACAAAAGTCGCTGCAGCATCAGATGAAATAGGGTTCTTTGCAGGTGTATGCAATCCGAGACCCCACCCTTCTTCGGCATATTGTTTAGGATGTGACACTAACGCCAACCGTGTAATTATGTCGATACGGTTCGAGCATTATATATCCTGTGAAGAAAATCCCTGTCTGTGCAGGCCATCCAACTTCCCTTCGGTCACGCAGAGAAAGGGTGGCCTACGCAATGTCGTACGATGCTATACGATGTCAAAGCCTTGAACGCTTTGTTTTGCACATGTTCTGAAAATGCAGGATATATACTATAGACAACAGAGACATATTTCTAGACATGTCTTTTGTCATTTGCGTGGGTGTGATGTATGTGTCCAAACAATTTTAAAAGAGGAATGATCTTTTAAAAGGTCAGCATAGACGGTTCAGCATAGACGGTTATTTAAAAAAAACAATAATACCTGGAGTGAGTTTACAAAGAAAAATAGAGAAAGATATTATATAGAGATAGATATCTGGACAGAATATTTCAATCTACACTTCTTGCAAAAATCTGAATAAAATATCCTTTAAAAATATCTACCATTACGCTAATTACTTAATCCCGACATTCTTAATAGATTCTCATTGACAGTATCTCGATACACTATATCACCGATGCCGAAAATGCACATTACGTATACTACAGATTTTTAATATTGACAGTGTACATCAAAACATGAATAATTATGAAAACCATGCTCACACTTATTTCTTTCCTACACAGCGATTACGATTTCATCTTACAGCTCTATCAACTTTCGTAGAAGATTCGAATATGATATCATTACGCGATGCACAATAACACATGTCCCTCGCGTCGCGACAAAGAAGAAAAGAAAGAGGTCGCTATCGAATCGCTATTCGTCGCTTTTCGGGGGCTCAGTGGAATCCAAAACTTGACGTCATCTTGCCTCCCCGCGCTGAC